AAAAAAAAAAAAAAAAAAAAAGGCTCGGCATCTCTGCCCTTTCGCCCCTTGGGATGGGAACGGGGCTGCGTCAACCTTCCTTCGGCACATGTTCCCGGGTCGGACAGGCTAGTACGGATACAAGTACAGATTACCAGTATTCACCAAGTCGGTAATGCTCTGTGCTTGTATGATCGTACCAGCCGTGCCGTGCCGTACCTCTCTCTCTCTCCCTCTGTGTGTGTGTGTGTGTGCACCCGGTCCGGTCGTGTCCAAGATGTGCAGAATGATAACGCTCATAATCCCACGTCCAGCCTTCAATGTCCGCGTCGTGGTGCGAGACTGTGCGAGACAGCAGTCAAGCTGCGTGCGGGCATTAATTACCACCTGCCGCTATTCAGAGACACACACTGTACGTGCTCTCATTAGCGTTGTCCTCCTCCTCCTCCTCCTCATCCTCCTCATCCTCTCCCCTCCTCCTCACTCCTCCCGGTATTACTCCGTACTCCCCTCCTCTCCCTCTCTCCCTTTTTCCCTAGCACTGGCGAATGCTTGGTATGATGTCGCTAGTCGACACTGCAAGACAGGCGGTGTGGGTCCGGGAAGAGGTGTGGGTAGAACAGGCAAAGCCAAGTGGGTAGAGAGGTCAGGGATTAAAATGGGATCGCGCAGGTAATAGGCGGAGGGTCCTGTCCAGCAGTGGTAAGTGCCAGGTATGTGTGTGAGCATCACTCGACGACTCGTAATACAGCCCGCGAGTACGGAGTACGAGTAGTGCTGGTACTCGTGGCCTACTCACAGAGCAAATGTTGCCGTCCGCACATGTACTGTCGGTAACAGCCAAGTACCCATACATTCAATTCAAGTCTTGACCATTCGTCTCGTCCGAAGCAGACCGGTGGGCGGGCCACTCTGGTTCCGAAACGATCTGTTCGACAACCCTCTCCTCTCGCGCTCCTCTTGTCAAATGCAATGCACGGCGTGCCACCTGTCTTCTTCTCCTCTCTCTCTCTCTCTCGCTCTCTCTCTCACTCTCTCCCTCGCTCCCTCCCTCTCCCCCTCTCATGGCAGCGCGCTATCCAGCCACTCCGTTGGTTCGAGCCGACTCCTCATCGCTGCTGTCCAAGGTCGATGGGAAGCCGGTCAGGTGCTGCTTTGCTGATGGAAGAGCCAGAGGTCGGGTGGGTGGTAGACGTTTAGCGGTAATGATACCTGCAGCCAAGCACTGGATGTCCTCTAGAGTATCCGGCAGTTGGGAGAGGCTTGGATTTTAGGGTGCGAGGTGATACTTGGTCTCATTAAGCTCGCAGGATCTGGGGATAGAAGCTTGTCCTAGTGCTCTGATTTCTGTCTGCCGCGTCGTGTATCGGGGTATGGCGTCTATCTAGTCTGTGCTCGCACTCGTACTGCTCCGTAACAACTCATGTGGCACTTTTTTTTTCCTTCCATGACCGAGTCAAGACACAGATGAGGTGCGGAATGTTTACCAGAGACGTCCGCCGTGCGGAGAAGGAGGTACCTTGGTGCCATCGGGTCAAAAGAAGCGTGAGATGGTGGCGGACCAATGATGCACTGGTCGCCCCCCCCCCCCCCCCCCCCCCCCCCCCCCCTCCCCCCTCTCCTGCCTGTGTGTTTACCTGCAATGTATAATACTCGCAAATTCGTACATGCAAAGCTGCGCAGGTATACTGTACCAGCATGAGTAGGGGTTCCTCCCGTGGGAGCAATCGTACTCGGTATGCATGCAGAGTATTACAGCGCAATGATACATAATACATATACATAATACATCGTATGGAGCCGCTCAACCTGATGACGGGGGGGCAGCCATGGACACGGACAGGACCATCAAACAAGACCCCGGTGATGGATGGTGGTGTACGGATAAATCATAATGGTGACAGCATGGGCTTCGGGGTTGCAGCGCCAGCCCATCTTAGTTCGATGCCCTGACGTAGAGGCGGGTCCTCCCCCCCCCCACCCACCCACATTGGGCGGCGTAGAAGTGACTGGGAAAGGAGAGGCATGGGTTAGCAGCCACCCCTGGGGTCGCTAGCTGCCCACTCGCCAAACTCGTCGATAGTGCGGCACGGGCGTGTGCCAATGTGCCTAGGAGCAAGGAGAGTACGGAGTAGTCGTACATCAGTCATGTCTGCCGCTAATGATGAGATCCAGCCAAAACTCGGGGTGGCGCTTGGTGGAGAGCCGTTGTGAGCAAGAATTCCAGACAGGCAGGCAGGCTGATCTCTCGTCAGGACCCGAGAGGTGACACCTATCCCGTGAGGGCGGCCTCGCGGCGCATA